GTCACCGACCAGTACTGAGAAGCCAGACTGTGGCCATTTACACAAAGTTTAACAGCCAGGAAAGTGACACGTGGAGGTCCGGGGGGCGCCCAATGCTCAGCACCTTGCAGGTTGAGAACACAAACGGGTGTGTGTCCCTTCTGAGGAAGACTGACTTCCACCTCCTTTCTTTCACTTGTGTGAATGGGAAAAGGCCTACAAAGTTCAAGGAGGCAGCTGGACTCCAAAATCCTCCTGGGCTGGAAGCAGGCAGAGATATCCACTCAGCTCAAACATAGTCTTCCTTTCATAAAAAGATGGATGGCTCAGGTGAAAACAAGAACTGGATGATGGCACTGGGAGTCACGGAGCAATGTGCTGGTGCTGTTGTGACCAGTGCATACATCTACACCAGAAGCACCCGACTTCCTCCTCCCTGCCAGTAACCACAGCAGACAGTGCTCTCTGCCCATCACACCTGTGTCCTTTGTCCTTTCTGTCTCCTTCAGGTATCATCTCCCTCACCGCACACCTGCTTCCTCCCACCCAATCTCTCTCTCCCTTTCTATTTTTTTCTGAGGGGCTCAGGATGGAACCCAGGGCTTCAACCATGCTAGGCAAGTCCTCTATGATTGAGCCACACCCCAGGCAGCCTCTCTCCTGATGGGGTAGACCCCTGCCGGCCGCCTCTCTCCTGATGGGGTAGACCCCTGCTGGCCTCCTGACTTTGTCTTTTCCCATCAAGGTCCCCATCCCACAACCACAAGAACCAGTATGCGTTTGTGTCTCATCCCACCCAGAACCATCACACGGCCACAGCCTCTTTCAAGCCAGAGACTGAGTCCCACAGACACAGTATCATTTAATCCTCACAACAGCTCTATGAGGTGGTGATTAGGGTGCACCAGAGTCTCCATGGGGAAAAGTCCTCTGTCTGGAGTTATCCAGGGTCACCTGGCTGAGGATGCAGGTGACTGGACTCCCAGACACACTGCCCCTGACCAGGCAGCCTCTCTCCTGATGGGGTAGACCCCTGCCGGCCGTCTCTCTCCTGATGGGATAGACCCCTGCCGGCTGCCTCTCTCCTGATGGGGTAGACCCCTGCTGGCCTCCTGACTTTTGTCTTTTCCCATCAAGGTCCCCATCCCACAACCACAAGAACCAGTATGCGTTTGTGTCTCATCCCACCCAGAACCATCACACGGCCACAGCCTCTTTCAAGCCAGAGACTGAGTCCCACAGACACAGTATCATTTAATCCTCACAACAGCTCTATGAGGTGGTGATTAGGGTGCACCAGAGTCTCCATGGGGAAAAGTCCTCTGCCTGGAGTTATCCAGGGTCACCTGGCTGAGGATGCAGGTGACTGGACTCCCAGACACACTGCCCCTGATACCACCTCTTCCCATCTGCAGGGCACTGGCATTTCCATTTAGAAATTCACCTGCCCCTCTAGTTACCTGATCCCCCTGATGCAGGGGAGAATATAGACTTCAGCAACTTGCCAGTGCCCACACTGCAGGCAGATGAACGCCTCTTATCCGTGCCTCTGGTATGACATCTGGTGCTCAGTTCCATGTATCCCCAAGGATGCACACCCCCCCATACAGTAAATTTTGCAAGAGGTCCCCTTTGAGGTAGAAATGGGAACCTCACAGCACTCACCTGAGCTATCAAGTCTCCATTTTCCGCATGGACCATGACCACAGCTCCCAGCCCCTTAAGGAAGGTGAAGGCTTCATAGAGCTAAGGAAGGAGAAATGGGGCTGGTGAGAATGAAGCCGCAGTAAGCAGCTCCTGCATTTACAAGGCTCCGCTCACACCCATAGCCATCCTGCAGCCTCTGCAGACCTCAGGGGTCACCACCTTCCACTTCAAAAGGCAGGCAGCTGGGGGGGGTCAAACTACCCAAAAGTGCAGGGTGGCAGGGTGACGCTCCCATCTCCTCCGCTTCTCTTTGGGTGCAAACTGCCCACGGGGGGGGCTGCTTTTAGATGTGGACTGTAGGTGGGGGAGGCACGAAGCACTTTAGGGGACCCCCACCCAGAGGCCACTGGCTGACATCTGCTCCAAGGCCTCCATAGACCAGTGTAAGAAAGAAATGTGTAAGTCACAATTCTGCCCACGTACTACACAATACTGCTTCCAAGAACCAACTTCCGACTTCTAGAACACCCTCCGTGGTTGCATCAAAGGCCCCACGCATCCTGAGTAAGTTATCTCTATGATCTGAAGTGCTTCTTTAAAGGGCAGGACAAGGAGAGGTCCTCCCACTATCTAGGTCTGTGTAGTGGCCAATGAGTGTTTCCAAACAACCGTGTGGCCCCACTATGTGCCAACACAGTCCTAGCATTTTCAACTGTGCTAAGTCACTCAGTCCTCTGACAACCTCGATAAGGCAGAGGATATTATGAGGCTCAAGCCCAGAGAGGGTGGAAAGATGTCCCAAGCTGCACAGCAAGCAGCAGGTATGGCAGGCCCGCACCAGCATCCACAGTCTCCTCTACCATACTAACACACACAGACGAGGGAAAGGGGAAGGAGCTGCGCCAGGGCTCCAGTGGGGAGGAGGTGGGCAATGGAAAGCAAGTCCACAGGTGTCTTATCTCTTCACACCCAAGGCTGGAGATTTCTCTGATGAGGAAACTTGGCTTGTCTGATGTCTTCCATGTGTTGAAGGCTCCCTCTGCAGAGCCAATGAATGCAATGGTTCCAATGTCACCTGTGCCCCAGAACCAACGGTTTGGCTTTCAGGAAGTAGGTATGCCTAAGGCAGCTCCCAGATCTATGTTGAGCTCCAAGCAGCTACGTGTTAATGAGCTGCCCAGGGAATGCTGGGAAAGAGCCGTGCCAGGGATCCCAGACTCCGACCCCAATCTCCCTTCAGGAAGGAATGGAGGTCCAGGAGGAGCAACGGTCGCGCTGCACTCAGTCCTGGGTGTGGACCTGAGCTCGGGCTTTGAAGCTTGCCCCTGTCTAGCCGAGCTGACCCTGGCTGACATGGGTAGGAAGGAGAAGGTTGACTCAGGGCCTACCTGGCTGTCAGACATTTGATACAGGTCCTTATAGGCCATGTAGACTTGAAAAGAATTGATGCCTGTTTCAAAATAAAAACAGAGAAAAACACGCTTAAGTAGAACATGAATCCAATAAATCAATGATCAAATGTAGCAACTGTCAGAAAAGAGGGTGTCGAGAGGTCCACAGTGGGGCACCACACCTCGCTGGGGGCTGGGTCAGTCCCAGAAACCTTCGGGGTGAGAGCACACCTGAGAAGAATCTGAAGGGGAACGAAGGAATCTGGGGGAGGGGGACATGGAACAGGAAGAGGGGGTGGGAACTGTTCAGATGAGGGGAGAGGTAAAGTTCGCCGCACAACCAGTTCAAACCTCACACTCCAGTGCACTGGCACACATGATGTGCAAGCACCACCTCAATCTAGTGCATGGGTCTTCCACAGCTAGGGAGAAGGTGAAGTTCGCCGCACAACCGGTTCAAACCTCACACTCCAGTGCATTGGCACACACGATGTGCAAGCACCACCTCAATCTAGTGCATGGGTCTTCCACAGCTAGGGAGAAAGAACCCAGGCTGAGTGTGGGAAGGGGTTCAAAAAGGTAGAAAGGACAGGACTCGATGTGGGGAGCAGTTCAGGGGTGCAGGAGACAGATGAGGGCTGGTCCTGAATTCCTCCTCAGGTTGCCTGAGGACAGAGGCTAAGTCTTAATGTGTCGTTTTGTCTTACTCATCTGGGACGTGTAATATGTGACTTGGGTTTGCAGATAGAACCAGGAAACTATGGCTGAGGAAAAGAAGAATTTGAGGTGTCCTAGTTTGTCTCTCCAATGCTGTGACAAAACACTCTGACCACTACCAACTTGGGGAGGAAAGGGTTTATTTATCTTACATCTCCTGGGTCACAGTTCATCTGGGAGCCCAAGGTAGGAACTCAGGGCAGGAACCTGGAGGCAGGAGCTAGCGCACAGGCCATGGAGGAATGTTGCTTACTGGGCTGCTCCCCTGGCCCTTGCCCAGCTTGCTCTCTTATCCAACACAGGCCTACCTGCTCAGGGATGGCACTACCCACAGTGGGCTGGGCCCTCCCACATCACTCATCAAGAAGATGCCCCTCAGACATGGCCACAGGCCAGTCCAATAGAGGCAATTCCCCAGTTGAGGCTCCCAGTTGAGTGTCAAGTTGACACTAACACTATCCAGCACATGAGGGGAAAGTATTAAAGGGGATGAAACTTCTTTTATACTGAACAATAATAAAGATAAGCCAAGAGTCCTCTGAACTGTAGAATATCATGGCAACAAAAATTCCTTCTCTCAAAAGAATAGGAAGAGAGCTAGTGAGAGGTCACTTTACTGCCTTAAGTGCTTTGTTAGTTTTTAAAGAAGAGAGAAAAAATATGTAAACCAAACAAGTTTCCAGGACATGCAATTTTAAAGATGAAAATATACAAGTGATCAGAAGTTACAAAAGAGACAAGAGCAGAAATTAAAAATTAGAAGCAGGAGGCAGAACAAGTAAACACACTCCAACACTAGCTTCTGGGGAGAAATGGATAAAGTTACCTCATACCTCAAGATCTCATGACAAATCATGACAGATGTGACTTGCTATCAGTGGAAACCTGCAAGCTAATTATTGGAAACAAAATATAGCCTGGCATAGTGGTGCATGACTTTAATCTCAGCCCTCAGGAGGCAGAAGCAGGCAGGTCTCTATGAGATTGAGTCCAGCCTGGTCTACATAGCAGGTTCCAGGCTAGCTGGTGCTACAGAGAGACCCTGTCTCAAATAAATAAATCAGAAAAGAAAACAAAATGTTAGGGTTTGCATGTGAAATGTCCCCCACAGTCTCCTTTGTTTAACACTTGGAGCCCTGTTGATGGTGCTCTTGGGAGGCTGAGATGAGGCCTGATTGGGGGAAGTGGGTTATTGGCAGGGGGGCTTGAGATTTGTTGACTGACCTCACTTCCTGTCCTTTCCCTGCTTACTATTCTGCTATGTAAATAATTATCACATGTTCCTACCAACCACAGAAGAACCCCCACCATGTCTTTCTCCTCCATGAAGGACCATACCCTCACACTAAGAGTCCAAAGAAACCTCTCACTGCATGTAGCTTCTTTTAGATATTTCATTACAATGAAATGAAAAGGTAAAAGACAAATATGCCTGCAGCAAGTTTAGCAGATTTTAAAATGCTTCTTAGAAAACATCAGACAGCAGTCACTTTGGGGGCAGGAGGCCCAAGGGAGTCTATGGAGAGAAAGGGCCAGGTTCTGGTCTAAGCAGAGCAATCTCATAATAACGCATGTCATATTTTGGTCTGTATGGTTTTTCATGTCTGTGTTTTATCAAGTTTTTTTTTTTTCTTTTTTTTTTTTTTTTGAGACAGGGTCTTCCTGTAATCCCAGCTGACCTGGAACTCACTATGCAGTCCAGGCTGGCCTTGAACTCACAAAGATCTGCCTTCCTCTGCCTCCAAGTGCTGGGATTAAAGGCATGTACCATCACACCAGGCTTTATAAAGGTTTTTATTTTCTTTTTAATTATATATGCATGCGTATATACATATGTGCACATGACTGCAGGTGCCCACAGAAGCCAGAAGAGAGAGTTGGATCTGCTGGAGCTGGAGTCACAGACATGTATGAACCAACCAATACAGGTGCTAGAACCCAAACTTGGAGCTTCTGTAAAATCAGTACACTCTCTTAAATGCTGGGTCATCTCTTTAGTCCCTTATTTCATATTAAAACATTAAAATCAAAACAAAGAAGCAAAAACACTAAAGGTAAACCATATTTTGGGAAATTTAAGAAAAAAGTGCACCTCTAATTTGTGAGATAAGACAAAAATTTGGTGATCAATGAAACCTCCCAGATCCACAAATCCCATAATAGCAGATTTCTCTCAAAAGGACCCTCAGAACACAGCACAGAGTACCTGTCCATAGGATGCAGACTGCATACAGTGCTTATCCACAGAACACCAGTTCTAAAGAGTGTGCTGAGTGCCTATCCATAGCACTGGCTGCACTGAGCACCTGTCCACAGAATAGCAGTTCTAAAGATTTCACAGAGCACCTATCCACAGCACACTAATTCTAAAAACTGCACAGAGCACATATGGGGCTGTCAGCAGACTCCCAATATGCCCTCCAGTTCTGAGGATGTTGGTAAACTTCCTAGTAACTTGGCCAGGTGGTAACCTTGGAAATGGCATGGTGACAATATGAGCCAGACACAGTCCAGGGCTAGGCACCTGGCAGGCGCTAGGCTGAGATGAGGGACAGAGTTCACTGGTTACCAAAGCACACCTGGCTGACCTATATAACAGATAGACATCCAGAAAGTGGGCTGCTCCATCTACCACAGGGACTGGGGTAAAAGAGAGTGAAGGCCAGGCTAGGAGAGGAAGACAGAGAACAGCAGGCTCCCAGTCTGCATCCCTACATACCATCTCTGTTGTTAAGGTAAATCTGAGCTATGTGGCCCAGTTCTCAGGGGTGAGTATCTATAACGGATGAGGAAAGGTGAAATTCAACAGTAACATACGAGTCTGTGTGACAGGACTTGGCACAGTTGTTTTTTTAATTGTTTATGTGTATGAATGTTTTGCCTGCATGTGTGTAAGTGCACCTGTGTTGTGCAATGTCCACGTAGGCCAGAAGAGGGAATTGAATCCCCTGGAACTGGAGTTACAGATGGTTGTTAGCACTGTGTGGTTGCTAGGAATCAAAACCAGGACCTCTGGAAGTCCTGGAAGTCAGTACTCTTAACTGCTGAGCCATCTCTCCAGCCCCAACAATTATGTATCTTAAGAAAACTCAAGAAGAGACTAAACAAGGAACACTTCCCAAACTCCATGAGTCAACATGTCTTTTTCTCACTCGTCAGATCTACACTGAGTAGTTCTAGGTACACAGAGCATCTGAGAAGCTGGAGGCGCATGCTGTGAAGACGGCAGGCAAGGCACTGTTCACAGTCTAGTGGAAAAGACAGGATACAGGAAGTCAGCGGGACAACTTCAGGTCGGAACGGGAACTAAAGAGAAATCTATCAGGCTGAGAACTTATGGAAAATCCCAGACTTTTTCGGACGATCTTAGGACTTGCTTGGATCCGCAAAACGAAGCGGAATTGATGCTGCACAAGTTCTATGTGTAGGCCACGGGGACTTTCAGCTCCCACTCGCCTTCCTGGAACTATTACATGAGGGGACAACTTCAGGTCGGACGGGAACTAAAGAGAAATCTATCAGGCTGAGAACTTATGGAAAATCCCAGACTTTTTCGGATGATCTTAGGACTTGCTTGGATCAGGACTTGCTTGGATCCGCAAAACAAAGCGGAATTGATGCTGCACAAGTTCTGTGTAGGCCACGGGGACTTTCAGCTCCCACTCGCCTTCCTGGAACTATTACATGAGGGAACCCACCAAGCGTGCTGAGAACAGGCCATGGGGACAGCACCATGCCAGCCAGTCTAGATGAAGAAGACAGTTGTGAACAGCTTGACTGCCCAGCTGAGCCCAAACTGAAATGCCCACTAGAAGTGTTCAGAGAAAATAAACAACAGATGATTTTTACTAATTGTGATCATACAACATAAAATTGGCAGCCATAACCATTTCCAGTGAGCAACTCTGGCACTAAGCAATTCCCAGTGGCATGCACTCATGGCCACCATCAATGTCCATGTTCATCTGGTGAACTAGAAGCTCTGACCCCATTAGACACTGGCTCCCTGCTGTGGTCTGAATGGGAGATCATCCTCACAGGCTCACATGCTAGGAGTGGGGCTGCCAGCTGTTGGACTTTGGGATGTGACTGGATCCTGAGGGCTCTGACATAATCCTGTCATGGATTCATGATAGGATGGTGTTATTGGGGAGGGGGCCTAGCTGAAGGAAGTTGGTCACTGGGGGCATCATGATAGGATGGCGTTATTGGGGTGGGGCCTAGCTGAAGGAAGTAGGTCACTGGGGGCATCATGATAGGATGGTGTTATTGGGGAGGGGCCTAGCTGAAGGAAGTAGGTCACTGGGGGCATGCTCTAGGAAGGTGCACCTTATGCCCTGCCCTTTCTGTTCTTCCTGCTTCCTGTCCCCGAGGAGGGGAGCTGCTCTGTTTCACTATCCCTGCCAGGATGTTCTGTCTCACTCTGAGCAAATCGATGAAGCAGCTGGCCCTGGGCTGAAACCCACCAAACTGAGAGCCAGTGTAGATCTTTTCTCCTTCTAAATGGTTTCTAGTTCCCTCAGGGAGCTCATGTCATAGTGGGGAGATGGGGATAGACAGCCTCACTGAGTAACTGAGTAGTCTAACCCTTGATGGAGCTGTGTGGGGACTACTGGGCAGGCAGGAGATCTAAGATAACATCAGAAGGCTTTCCTAAGGAAGCACAGCTCAGCCACAAATGAAAGACTCACTGAGCAGAGGCAGGAGGGTGTTTCCAGGAGGGGAGGTTACAGGAGACAAGGAAGCATTCTATAAAGTTGGTTGGACATTTAGAAACCTGTACAAGCACCTAGAATTTTCCCTGGAAGTTGCCAATCAGGAAAAGGAAAAGGAGGGCTGGAGAGATGGTTCAGTAGTTAGGAGCACTGGCTGCTTTTGCAAAGGACCTGGGTTCGATTCCCAGCACCCACATGGCAGCTAACAACCATCCATAACTCTAGTTTCAGGGGATCCAACGCCCTCTTTGAACTCTGTGGGCACTGTACAACATGGGTGCACTTACATACAGGCAGTAATCAGGAAAAGGAAAAGGAGGGCTGGAGAGATGGTTCAGTAGTTAGGAACACTGGCTGCTTTTGCAAAGGACCTGGGTTAGATTCCCAGCACCCACATGGCAGCTAACAACCATCCATAACTCTAGTTTCAGGGGATCCAACGCCCTCTTTGAACTCTGTGGGCACTGTACAACATGGGTGCACTTACATACAGGCAGGCAATACACTCATAAAACGAAATAAAATATGTTTTTAAATATTTTATTTATTATTTTTAGCCAACACCCTCTTTGAACTCTGTGGGCATTGTACAACATGGGTGCACTTACATACAGGCAGGCAATATACTCATAAAACGAAATAAAATATGTTTTTAAATATTTTATTTATTATTTTTATTTTATGTGTATGCATGTATTATCTTCATGTAGGTGAGTGCACCCGTGTCATGCAATGGTCATGGAGGACAGAAGAGGCTGTCGGATCCCCTGGGACTGAAGTTACAGACAGTTGTTAGCTGCCATGTGGGTGCTGGGAATCGAACCCAGGTCTTCTGCAAGAGCAGTTGGTGTTATCCACTGAGCCATCTCTGCAGCCCCCAAAATAAAATGTTTTAAAAAAAATAAAATAAAATAAAATAAAGGAAAAGGCTCCCCAGTCTCAGGGAACAATGCCACGAACACCAAAGTCCCAGCAAACATCCCCTTCCCAGCAGAGTGTGGCCGTCGCTTGTCCCCGAAGGGCACATGGCTCTTGTGCTCCCTCCATGAGTCTTTTCTTCCCATATTCACACATGGGCTAATAGTTACACGGAAACTGGTTCAGATCATCGTTAGGTGAGAACAGAGAAATCGTAACAGCAGGCTCTCTCAAGTGAGGACTATGTGGGAAGAGGGATTCTGTGCTGTGTGAGTCACAGCAGCTGCCACAGAGGACTGCACTCACACGCCAGGAGGACATGCCTGCACACACAGGGACCCCAAAGTTAGGAGAGGAAAGGAGACAGTTGGATAGTCACACAGGGAAAATTCTGCACAAACTATGAGCAGAATTAGTGATTAAAGAACAGCAATGAAAGCCACAGTGGGACTGGCCCTACAGTTAGTAAGGGCTCACAACCACAGCAACACTCACTGCAGCATGCGGGGGTCAGGGACTCGGATGTGGGCCTACGCTTGCATGAATGGGGGCATCTTCCAAGAAATCAACTGGCCATAAGTATCATGGTCCCTGAAAATGTTAAAACCTTCACATTTTATAATCTCATTTCTAGACATCTAAGAAAATCCTAAGAAAGCCAAACAAATGTTTATGCATAGAGGCATCCACTGAACACAGTTTATCATAAAACAGAAAACTAAATGCTCAATAAAAAGAAAAGAGCAAATGAGCTATTACATTCCATAAAATGAGCTGTTAGAAAGTTACTGATGGAGGGAATGTTACTCATAAAATGTTAAATGAAGAGAAGATTCTGAATTACCACAATCACAGAACCACATAAGAGGAAAAAAGTCACCAAAATAGTCAAGGATTTGGAGGCAATAACACTTAACATCAATGGCACATTGAGATTAGAGGCAGAAACAGAGTGGAGGGAAATATTGTCTTGATTTTCTGATTTTATATACTAGAGTCAATAGTTCTCTTACAGTGAGGAAATATAGTGCTTGTGTTAAGCACTAAAGCATACCCCAGTGCCCCTTGAATTGCCTATATTCCAGGCTCCTCCTCTCAAAGCTCTGGATGGTTCCCTCTGGACTGACCACCCATGTCCAACTGCTGGTCATATCCCTCCTATCTCTGTCCAATTGTGATGGACAACTGAACATGTCTACACTGGGCAGAGTTACCTAGTATGAGGCCAAGTAGGGGAATCAGGTGGACCACAGAGATATATGGCCACATACATTACTCTCAGAGTCAGACAGACAACCAACATTTCAGAATCAAAGAGCAATGGCAAAGGTATACCCAGCAAGACCCAAGTAACGGCTTTAGGGCACTGAAGGGCTAAAGCAACTCTCGTGGACAATGAGGAAAGGGTGTCTGGCTGGGTCTTGAGGGAGAGCAGTATTTGACAGGCCAGGTGGAGAAAGGACATTCCTATGGGGGAAATGAGCTATGCAGAGGCCAGCCATGAGGGGTCGAGAACAGCATCCAGGATGAGGGGTACTCAGGAAGGGTTATGACACAGAAAGGAGTGAGGCTAGACCAGCAGAGGTCTCCCAAGCCAGGCTATGAAATTGGAGCCTAAGGAGAAGACAAACTCCATGAAGAGGGAAACTGTGCTTCCGTCATTGAGCAGAGGTGTGAAGCTCTGAGCTGGGCTCAGTTTAGAAGTAGCTAAGGGGATTTTTAACCCCAGATACATTCTGGGGTCCATTCTTGGCTTTCACTGACCTTTGTCCTGCACCAGCACCTCCAGCTCCTCCCGAACACCATCGTACCAGCTTGTGATGTCCACATGGAGGGAGTAGTCACAGCAAGATTTGGTATCTGCTGCTTCATGCCACTTCTCGAAGGAAGTCAGAAGGCTGGATCCAGGTTCAGGAACAACATGGTCAACTGGGATAGAGACACATGTGTCATGATGCTTAGAACCTGAGTTGTTCCAACAGTGGCCACATCACCTCCCAAGACCATCACCATCATGCCTACCAATAGAACCACCAACACCATCGCCATCACCACCATCATCACCATCATCACTATCGCCATCACCACCACCATCATCCCATCATCCCATTACCACCATCACCATCATGACCACCACCACCATCACCACCACCATCACCACCATCACACCACCACTATCATCACCATCATCATCACTACCACCATCACCACCACCACTACTATCATCACCATCATCATCACCACCATCATCATCACCATCACCACTATAATCACCACGATCGCCCCCATCATCCCTATCCTATCACCTTGTCATAATCATCATCACCACCACCACCACCACCGCTATCCTTTTCTATATCATTCCCAACATTATTATTATTGCTGTCACCAAAATTGTCAGCATCATTGCCAGAATTACCAGCAGCAGTAGCATCACCACCACCATCTTCAGGCTCTGTCACAACTATGCTCCCCATTGTCACCACTGCCACTGTCCACATCCTCCCTGCTCACCAGTTTCTCACTATGCATCAGTACAGGAGCTTACGTCAATGCCCTCATTTAATCCCCACAACCATCCGTGAGGTGAGAATTAACAACCTCCCTTGCAGATGAAGGCCCTGATGCTCAAAGGACGCCGGGTTCATGAAAAGGTCTTAGCAACCAAGAAAAGTGAACTTCGCCATCTCTTTTTCAAAGACTGTCTAAAACATAAAGCAGATCAAAGACAGGCGCCTCCCGTCCTAAACTTCACGTGATGTTACTTACCCTAGTGGCTCTGCCTACTCTGCTCTCCCACCCCACAGCCAGGCATCCACAGACATCAGCACACAAGAGTCTGTCTCTCCTCTCTCATACTCCCCACCAACTACTGCAGATGGTACAGTGCCCATTTCTTTGTGTCTTCAAAACTCCTGGGAAAACCCAGGCCTCACTTTCCACACTCTCTGCCCAGAAAGTGACTTCCTCTCTCTTCAAACTTGTTCTTGGTTGACTTCCACGACAGAGAATCTTCTGGCATTTTCTGGCTCTCTGTCCTGCTTCTTCAGATGTTTTATCTCTTCTTGCAGACCCCTCTTCTACTTTTCCAGAGCCTCCTGCAGCATTGCCCCCCCGCAAAAAACTGGGAACTGCCCAGCTGAGGAGGACTTCAACACCTAACAGTTCTACAAGCCCAGCATCAAAGCCTTCTGAGGAGACAAACCCAGTAACCCACTCTCCTTCTACCAGGCCCTACCTCTTAAAGGTAGGTGAGTTGACGGCCTATATAAAGAGCTTGAGTCCTGCTTGGTGACCTCTCCCCATCACACATGTCCACATGTTCACACCATGAAGCTATTTGCCATGTGTGACTCAGAGGCTGAGAAGAGTCTCTGAATCTCAGACCTTCGGCTCTCCCAAACTATGACCTTAAATAAACATACCCAGCCTCGGATACCTTGTAATAGCAATAGAAAACAAACCAATCCCGAGGCTGTTTGTTATGTCGCATTAGCACAGCATTACTACAGCAAAACTGATTAATACTGATTAATACACACCAATTCCTAGTTATGGCTCTCTGTCCTGCTTCTTCAGATGTTTTATCTCTTCTTGCAGACCCCTCTTCTACTTTTCCAGAGCCTCCTGCAGCATTGCCCCCCACAAAAAACTGGGAACTGCCCAGCTGAGGAGGGCTTCAACACCTAACAGTTCTAGAAGCCCAGCATCAAAGCCTTCTGAGGAGACAAACCTGGTGACCCACTCTCCTTCTACCAGGCCCTACCTCTTAAAGGTAGGTGAGTTAACGGTCTATATAAAGAGCTTGAGTCCTGCTCGGTGACCTCTCCCCATCACACATGTCCACATGTTCACACCATGAAGCTATTTGCCATGTGTGACTCAGAGGCTGAGAAGAGTCTCTGAATCTCAGACCTTCGGCTCTCCCAAACTATGAGCTTAAATAAACATACCCAGCCTCAGACACCTTGTAATAGCAATAGAAAACAAACCAATCCCGAGGCTGTTTGTTATGTCGCATTAGCACAGCATTACTACAGCAAAACTGATTAATACTGATTAATACACACCAATTCCTAGTTATGGAATCCTGAACAAATGAGCTCACTCTGTGCATCTATTTTCCCATTTGTAATAATATCTATGTCATTGCTTTCAAAACCTTAGCTCAAACTTAGTTTCTATTCAAGTATATTCCCAATGTATCCAGGTATGAAGAAGCATCCGACAAATCCAGCCTGAACTTGTTTTGGGTACATGCACAGCAAGGCAACCCGTGTCCTCAGAGTGAACTTTTACAAATATTTGATTTATTATTTTTATTTTATGTATATGAGTGTATTGCCTGCATGTATGTAAGTGCATATATATCATGTAATGCCTGTGGAGGTCAAAAGAGGATGTTGGATTCCCTGGAATAGACAGTTATTAGCCACCATGTGGGTGCTTGGACCTGAACCCAGGTCCTCTGTTAGAGCAGCCAGTGCTCTTAACCACTAAGCCATCTCTCCTACCCCCTCAAAGTAAACTTTTAAAGAGAAAACCCCCTATTTACCATCTTATGTCTGCATAATTGGGTGTGCACATGATTAAAATAGGATGCATTATCGGAAGAAGCACGCACAGTGAAAGTTATGGCCTAATCTATCAATCAAAACAGAGACCCACCTCACCATGCCCTGTAGCAACCAAGCAGGAAGCCCCAAACCATGATCAGGGCCCCTGAGCATCTTCACCCATGAAGCTCACTGGGATCTTGCTGTGGTGTGTTCTGATCTGTTCTACAGCTTTGCTTTAAACAGCTTCTTTGCTACTTTTACAAATCTGTGTGAGCTTTTGTTTCAATTCCAAGAACCTTCAAACACCCACCTGGACCATGAGTAACAATTTTGCCTTGATACACACTGAAGTAAATTTTTTTAGTTCTTTCATTTGTTTTTGTTTGAGACAGGGTCTCCCTGTAGCCACAAATGGCC